TGGGATTACAGGCGTCTGCCACCACACCTGGCTAAGTTTTTGTATTTTTAGTAGAGATGGGGTTTCGTCATGTTGACCAGGCTGGTCTCAAACTCCTGACCTCAGGTGATCCAGCTGCCTCAGCCTCCCAAAGTGCAGGCGTGAGCCTCCGCGCCCAGCTGAACCCCTACTTTTCTAGGCCATTTGCTGATGTCATGGCACCATGAGGCTGGTGGGGCAGGGAATGTCCTCAGAGTCCTTTGAGAAGCTTTAAAAATTTCCCCAAGAAGAAGCTTCCTTCTGTGCAACCAGGACGTCCACAGGCAAGTCTCCCCTTCAGGGACCTGGAACCCCCCATTAGTGAACTGCCCTCAGGGGCAAGGCTGCTCTCCTTAGGAACCTGTCCTAGATGAACAGGCCCATTCTTGGCACATACTAGATGCTCAGTAAACACTGAAAGAATGATTTGGGTCTCATTTAGGAGGGGTGGATAACAGGGGAGGAGTGGCTGCAGGGGATGGGAGAGGGGGGGTAAGGAGGGCTGCGGCCAAGGCCTGTGGGTCTCTCAGTTTCTGACCTTGACCTCCAGAGAGTCCTGTTGCGATGGAACTCAGACCACACCATCCCCTGCTCAAAGTCCCAACGGGCCTTCCCCCAGCGTTCAGAGCTAGGCCCTCCAACCCCATGTGTCTGACTCCCTTTCCCACACACTGGCCTCCTGGCTATTCCTAAACTCAACAGCACATTCCCTCTCAGGCCTTTCATGCTGTTGCCACTGGCTGGAATATTCTTTCCCCAGATATTCTTCCTCTCTTCTTTCGGATCTTTGTCAAAAGTCATACTCTCACAGGGGTCTTCTCTGACCACCATGTCTAACATAACACCCCTCCCATCTCTCTCCACCTTTACCCTGGTTTGTTTTTCATTCTGGAACTCACGGCTGCCTGATGTTAGCTTGTAGGTTTACTTGTATACTGCCCATCTTCCTGAGGAAAGAGGAGAATAGCTGCTCTGTGAGGGCAAGCTGGTCTGTTATGTCTACTGCTGTAGCCCCAGAGCTGGAACAGTGCTGGGCACATGGCCAGTGCTCAATCAGTGTTTGTTGAAGGAAGGAAGGAAGGAAGGACCTCTTTATTCTGCTAATGAGCAACCATACAATCTTTTTTATGTTATGCTATGTTATGTTATGTCATGTCTGAGACAAAGTGTCACTCTGTCTTCCAGGCCAGAGTGCAGTGGTGCAATCTTGGCTCACTGCAGCCTCGAACTCCTGGACTCAAGTGATCTTCCTGCCTCAGCCTCTCAAGTAGCCAAGTGGCTGGAACTACAGGTGGGCACCACCACGTTCGGCAAATTATTGCTTTTTTTTTTTTTTTTTTT